TAGCCCTCTTAGTGCTAGACCCAAAACCCCAAATCCTAAACCCTCAATCCCCAAGGCACAGGGAGCTCCAGCTGCCTGGCAGGGATATGCCCGCAACGTGCTGCGCAGCCAGCGGTGGCTGACGTGCTGGTCGTTGGAGCAGGCATTTGGTTCCGTAAACGGAGGGCACTGCATAGCCCGTCCCTATATGGGCTTCAGTCTAAACTCCGTAAAGGGGGTTCTATCGGGAATCGGTTCTATCGGGAATCATTTAGGGTTTAGGGTCTAAACTCCTCAATGGGGTTAAACAGGGATTATATAAGGGAGTACTACAGGTCTTATTAATGGTCATACTTGGAGTTTAGATTATCGCTAATATGTATGCAGAGCCGTTTTGGTATACAGGGTGCCAGAATACCTTATTCTTACACTCATAGGTCGCATGGCTTTTAATTATGACTTATGGGGTAACACTTATGTTTAATGTGGCCCTCCGAAAATCCAGCTCATATCTAGGGCCACCAAACCGGAGACTGTATTGTACAGCGTCGGGGATGATCTTTCAAGAGGTCTTCAGAGAATCATGCATGCTGGGGTTATGTAGGCCTGGGGTTATGTGGGCATATACAGGGATCACTGAATCACTAAACCCTAAACCCTGAATCCCAAGCCCTAAACACTAAGCCCTTGCTATTTTCGGTTTGTTCTCAAGATGAAGTGAACATCTCGGGATTATGTGCTGGTAAAGGTTGCCCCCAGAAGGACCAACTTGAAATTGCTATGTGGACCTCGAAGGCGAGCCTTGGAGGTTCATGACACGTTCTAGATATTATAGTTACATTAAATAGAGACCCCAATATAGACTCCAAATGATTTTTATCTTTATCAGGCTCAGATAAGGCACAGACCTCCAAACAGGGCCTGTCATGAGAAAGGATGTGCAGCCGCTGGGAGGGGCGTTTTGATAAAACAATTTCCCGCTGATCTATGGTAAGAAGTATGGGCCCGGAATATGGGCCTTAGGCCTTTTTGGTGGATTCTATAGGGACCTTTAAGAGTACATATAAGGTATATAGTGGGTATTTAAGGATCTTCGGGCTAGGGGCCCTTAGGCCCTTTAGGGTGATTTGAAGGACCCCTTGCCTCTTCTGAGTTGGCTCGTTTCTTTTTTGGGGCGTGTTCCCTTGCTGCAAGCATTAGGGTTTAGGGTTTAGCGGTTTAGGGTTTAGGGTTTAATTTAATTAACGTGGGCAGAGCAATGATCAGTTGGGAATGAGGCAATGGGTCATTCTTAATCCCGACATAATCTATAACAGCGCAGCAAAGTCTTCAACCCAACCTTTGCTTTACCTATGAGTCTTCTTAGCTCAACATTTGTTTCGCGGCATCCCTCTCAGAAGCATTGGGCTAGCGCAGTCATGTTGTATATAGGCAGCCTGGCAAAGTGCAGTTCCCGGAATCAGGCCCATCTTGTAAGCCTGAAATTATAAAGACGCCCACAAGGCATGCTAAATTTCCTAAGCTTAATTACTGAGCCCTAAAGCTACAACTTTGAACCCGGAGCTATAAGCTTTAAATTCTCAACCCTCAACCGTAGCCCTAAACCCTGAACCCTAAGCCCTAAACCTAAACCTATTCAAAAACTGTGAGGGCCTGCTGGCATTGCTGCGGTGTTGGCCCTACAGCTGCAGAAGAGGAGCTGGTCTTGGGCTTAGGGTTTAGGGTTTAGGGTTTAGGGTTTAGGGATAGTGCCCTGATGCTGGAGAATCACGTGGAGAAGAATATGAAACGGAAACTGTGTTGTTATAAAGGGTTTGGGTGATACCCCTAAACCCTAAACCTAAGAGACAGAATAGGAGGTTCATTGGGGTCGGGATAAAAAGAAAGGGTTTGTTGATAACATCCTATATGAACGGAGGAGCGGTTTAAGGATTAGAGGGTTTAGGGCTTAGGGTCCGAGGGGTTAGGAGGCTTTGCATTGCCTGTGCCCTATCCCTATTCCACACTTGGAACCCTAAACCCCAAACACCCCTTTTCTGTCGCACATCTTCTTCTACATAGCCAAGGGCTAAGTTTGGGAATGAGGATTTCCCAACATGGGCGCCTAGGTACCCCAAGAGATATTTAGGCATGTTGCCGGATATTTGCGGAGTATGAGAATTGTGGGGGACCCTTATTCGGATTCTTTGGGTGCAAGGGATATGGAGGGATTATAGGTGGATTGTGGGGCCCTTTTAGAGATTCTATAGAACATTCTTGCTTGCAAGCAGCGGAAATCATTGCACGAGTGGTCTTTGCGTGCAACATTCAGAGCTCTAGCACACCTAGGCAACAAAGGAATGCTTGACATTGTAGCAAGCAGCGGTGCTGGCTGTACTACACGTCATACTCGCAGTAGTAATGGTCTAAGTGGGGTTATGAGTATTAAAGCCACTGAGTTAGCCACACCTCTTGAGAGTGTCCAGGTCATTTGATGTGCCACAGCCTTTCCTGGGTAACCCGAACCCCAACAACCTTCCGTGGGTAGTTCCCAACAGTAGCCCTAAACCCTAAACCCTGAATCTTAAACACTAGACCCTGAACCCTAACCCCCCTGAAACCTATCATCCTCCTGGGTGGTCACATACATTCCCGGGCTCCCCGAGACATGTCCTGGTTTAATGGCACCTGAGACCTTCAGCCCAGGACCCAAATCCCCAATCCCTAAAGTCCTAAACCCGAATCCTTAAACCATTACACCCAAAGCCTAATCCCGAACCCTAATCCCTAAACCCCAAACCTCGGCAGACTTTGAAAGGCGAATCTTTTGGGTGGATCCTGAGTTTCGATCTGGCCGACTGACGCGATTCTTGACAGTTCCTGCATCATTGTTGGGAAGGTTATGATCGTTTTCGCGTTTTTCTATTTATTCACCTCCCCTACAAGCACCCTACCTTCAAAATGATTAACAATGGACCCTAAACCCTAAACCCCAAACCCTAAATATCAACTTTTGGTGTTGCCCAAACTGAGGTCCCGTGCAACACGAAGGTTGACATTCTCGCGCCTGGGACGCATGGCCCTGAACCCCCACATACGGTTTAGGGTTTAGGGTTTAGGGGTTTAGGGGTTTAGGGTTTAGGGTTTAGGGTCCCCCTTAAGTAGATAGAATATGGTTTTGGGTATATAATAATACGACACCCATATACCTTATATTCTATCTACTTCAGGGGGACTATAAAGCCTCAACCATCATTGATCAGGATTTAGGGTCGAGGGTTCAAGGCTTTAAGCCGCTTTTGGGATCAAGGTCAAGGGTTTGAGCTTAGGATGGGATAGGTTCAAGAGGAGCCTTGTGTAAGAATTCCTAAACCCTAAACCCTAAACCTAAACCCTAAACCCTAAACATCGACAGGCTAAGCCGGAAGGATCTGATTCTGTCCCCTTGTTGCTTCTAAAGAGGGGCCTGGATATACCCTACCGAATCCTGATGCATGCTGGATCCCAAAAGGGCACCCTAATTTCGAGAAGCTCCCACATATGAAGGGTGGAAATTTGTAGTCCTGTTTGGCTAGAATCTACCTGTTCAAGTATAGCCTTGCCAATTGTAGTTGATTGTTCTCCCGCTGAGGGTCTAGCCATTCATGTGTGTACAGAGGAGAAAAGCCTGGTGCAAAGCCATGGGTGAAACGAATGCCCGTGTGAGTGGAACACCTAGTTCGTATTTTGTTTGATCTACTTTTGCTATTCATGTGCAATGGGAGCTTCGGGCTGAAAGTAGAGACACTGGCTGTAGCTTTTCGCGTGCTCCAGTGTCCATTGGCAATGCGCTCGCTGTTTGCCGGCATCCTTTTTGCCCCGCTGGTTACAGCCGTGCCCGACTGCCCGGACATCCATACCTGGCACAATGTGACAGCTTGGCGTGGCACCTGGAAAGCACAGCTCGCTTCTATCAATGAGAAGGCTCCTTGTCAAAATGCTCGGAGCTGCTACTGCTACTGCTCCTGCTCCTGCTGATGCTGCTGCTGCTGTTGCTGCTACTGCTTATGCTACTGCTACTGCTATTACTGCTATTCCTACAATTACTATTACTATTACTATTACTATTGCTATTGCTACTACTACTACTACTACTGCTACTACTACTACTACTCCTACTCCTACTCCTACTCCTACTGCTAGTGCTACTGCTACTGCTACTGCTACTCCTACCACTACCACCACCACCACCGCCACCACCACCACCACCACCACTACTGCTACTACTACTACTACTACGACGACGACGACGACTACTACTACTACTACTAAACTAGGTACGTTTTCCATACTTGACGACTCGTTTTTCTATGCCTATTCTTCTTGGTTGTGACTTTTCAGAGCCATTTTTGATGGTATTTACAGTACTTCTGCGTTT